ACAGAGCCAAAATCCCCAGGCCTATAGCATTTTCAACACAGATCTCTTGGAAAAGACACGATTTCAAGGCCACTGGCTGCCAGATGCTGTCATCCCTTCAGAATTGGGGCCATCTCTGCTGCTCTGTTCCCCACCTTCTTTAATTGGCGACCATTGTGTAGAGAGGAAGGCTGAGGCCCAGGGGCGATGAACTTGGCTCAAGTGGCCCATGCTGGCTGGGCTGGATGTTGTGTTGGCCTCCCTATTGAGGTCATGTTGTGCCACATGTGGACTGTGCTCCCTCTTCTCTCCAGTGGGTTGTGGAATTTCTTTGCTTACAGGATTTACCTGCCCATGCAGCAGCAATCAGAGTGTGCCTGGAGAAGGGTCCAGCCCCAGGTAATGAGCTGGCAGAGGTGGGCAGCTTCCTGGTGACAGAGCTCCCACCACACACTTCTGATTTATGTTCCCCAGGTAGGCCCCAAGAGCCAAAGGCCTAGACAAGCATTTCTGCAGGACATGAGGTTGGATATTGACCAATTTATAGACTTTCCATCTCAGAATATGCCTATGAAGTCTTCCTCATGGATTTCTGAAAACTAATAGTTCCTACAGCCTATATCTTTCAAAAATAGCAGTTTTTCTTTCAAATGAAAGAACACCCCAAACATCAAAGCAGATGTGGGCATCCCATCTTTCAGATGGTGTATAGGGCTTATTCCCTCCTGAGATCATTCTTGCCCCAGAAGCCTCTTCCTGGTTTTTAATTTCTCAGATAAAGTCTGCTGCATTTCTGAGCAGCATCAAGATGCTGATTTTATATTCCAAATTGTAGTTCTGAACAGACTTGGGAGGGTCTTGAAAAGTCTAGCTGAGAATCTGCTGTTGATGACATAAAGCTATGACATATTGGAGATGTAGCAGAGATGACCAAGGTCTCTGGGTGGACGGTGTGATGGTATCATCTGGGATCAACTTTAGAGAGATAGGCCAAGACATCAAAGATGGGGGAACAGCTAGGAGACAACAGAAACAGGGTGGACACTGTGGTGGGGTGGTCTGGGGTCCTCTGTGGAGAAATTATGATCAAGGTCTACAGGCTGGGAAAACAGGCTGGAGAAACTGGCTGGGGGTTGCAGAGACAGGGGGTGGGGTAGGGAAATGTTATGTGGTGATCTGGGGTTCTCTGGTGCAGAGGGGATCACCACCAAACTTGTCCTATCTCCATTAGGGGCCACCAGGACTAGGTCCCTGGGATAGAGGGGTCTTCCTAATCCTGGAGCTGAAGATCTGGGGACCCAAGGCAGGTGTTCAGTGAAGACAGAATTAGGGAATATGTGAGGAAGGAGCAGCAGCCCCCACATCACATGCTCTTCTTGCTGAGACAGTCTGATTATTAGAACACAGATGAACTCACTGTTGCCAGGGTGAGACAGATGCCTCAGAGCCACCTGTGTCTCTGTGGGTGGATGGGAGTTTTTTACCTGTCCTTCTATGGATGACATTTGCATGTTGGTGGTTAGGGCATTACAAAGAAGGCTGCTGTGAACATTCCTGTACGAGTGTGCTCTGCGAACTCACCTTCACTTTCCCTGGTGCACATCAGGAGTGTAATGGCTGGCAACATGGAGGCAGGTGTTGACATGAGGCCAGCAGGGGGTGCTCAGAGTGACTTTTTCTGATCTCCTTGAATCATATTTCTGCCAGGGATGGGTGTCCTGTGCCCACAGCAAACTTCCTTCTCAGGACTCACCTGGGGAAATTTCATGGTTGGGGATACCTGGAGTCTATGTCCACAGTGAGGTAACCCTAACCTTCAAGGCCTGCCCTAATTCTCACCCTTGTGGTCCACCAGAGAAGACCATGGCTGTGGACACCTTGGGGCTGACTGTGGTGACAAAAGCTTTTTTCTCCTTGGGACCCACACAGAGAGATGCTGTGGCTGGGGACCTCTGGGGGCCATGTCCACAGTGAGGTAACTCTTACCCTAAACTTGGAACCCACCCAGGAAGGTATCATGGATGCAGGCACCTTGGTGCCATGACTGTTGTGGCAGAGCCTTTTGGAACCCTCACAGGGAGATTACTTGGCTGGGGATATCTGGGGACAATGTGCACCACAAGAAATCTTCCCCTTGGCATCTACATGTGGATTCCACTGTGGTTTTGGGATTACTGAAGTTTATCTGAGGAAAAGGTGGGGGAAAAATGATGAAAAACCTCTTGTCCACTCTCCCATGTGCTGAGGAAGAAGCTCTGAATATTTGGAGAATATTTGTAGTTAATATTTTAGTGGGACTTAATTTATAAAAGTATCCATTGTGAGGCTTTGGCTCTTCATTGTCATAGTATCCTAAAGTACATTTTATGGTGAGAAATACCAGGACACTGAAAGGAGAAACTGAGACACAAACTCAGGATAGTTCAGGGGAGGCCTGGGGTTCCCAGCACATGGCATCTCACATGTTCTTCCGTGATGAGGGCTGTACAGGCAGAATACTGCATTACACTGCTCAGAATACCAGGGCTGTACAGGCAGAATACTACACTATGCTGCTCAGAATACCTGGGGGGAAATGTTCAGACTGCAGCTCTGAGAGTCCTCTGTGGACCATAGTACTGAGAATCTTCAGGGTGCCTGAGCAAGCATGCATCCTGCAGCTTATATATACAGCTGACAGAGGTGTATGTGGGAAAACACTGAACTACATTACCCACAATACTCTGGTGCAAGAGAAGCTCACAAGAGTGCTCCCCATGAGCTAGCAAAATGTGGGACTACATCACCCACAATTCTAAGTGGCTAGAAGCTCTCAGGGTTTTCCACAGAGAACCAGCAAAACATTGGACTACATTACCCACAATCCTCAGGGGGTGGGGATGGGAAGCTCATAGAAATTCCTCCACCAAGAGCTGTAATGTGGGACTACATTACTCAGAAGCCTGTGGTGATAACCCACAGTCATGGGGGGTGGGGGGCAGAAATCATAGGACTCCCCTGCCTCCTATGAGCTGGTAGAACATGGAACTAAATTATTCACAATCCTGTAGTGGCAGAGGCTCCCAGATTCCCCCCAGAGAGCCAGCAAAAACACTGGACTACATTACCTTCAGCCCTCAGGAGCAGAAACTCTCAGGAGCCCCCTTTCTCTCCACCATCACCACCCTATGAGTGGGCAAAATGCTAGACTATCTATAATCCAAGGAGGGGGAAGTGAATTGCACAGAATCAACCCCTCTGAGCCATAAAATACAAGGAACTTAATTACCCACAATCCTAATGGGGCAGAAGTTCCCTGGGTTCCTCACAGGGAACCAGCCAAATACTGGACTACATTACCCACAATCCAAAGGGGGTGGTGGTGGTGGGGGGCAGCCTACAGGAGCACTGCTCCCAATAAATTAATCAAATGCTGGACTACATTACCCATAGCTCTCAGGGTCAGAAACTTTTAGGAGTATTATTTCCACCTCTTATCGTGAATGGGAAAAATTCTAGAATAAATGACCTACAATCCTAAGGAAGATGAAGCCCCAGGATCCCCCATGAAGAGCCAGCAAAGTGCTGAACTACATTACAACAAGAATAGAGTTAGGGTTTGGGTTTTTCTGGCTCTCCTTGGGGGTATCCTGGGTGCTTTCTTACCCTAAGAATTAGGGGTGATGTAGTTCTCCATCTTACCCACACACCTCTGCCTGGAGACCCAAGAAAGCTAAATGCACATGCTTGCCCTTATACCCTGAGGCTTCTGAGCAATTTTAGGGATAGGGATAGGGGTAGAGCTAGGCAAAAATTAGCCACAGAGCAAAGATTAATGAGATTTACAAAGCCTAGAGGTGCTCCTGAATTTCTGCCACTAATGACCATGGGTAGTTTAGTCCCAGGTTTAACCACTGACACTGGAGATCCTGGGAACTTCCTCCCTTTAGGATTATGGATAATGTAGTCCCAATATTTCCTGCTCTTAGATTAGTATTATGGGAGGCCCTCCCCAAATATTGTGGGTGAAGTATTAAGAGGTTTATGGCTCAGGTTGAGGAATTCTGGGTAATTCTTCCTACCAACTCACATGGAATTGTGGGTAATATAATCCCACATTTTATTCAAACTGTGGAGAATTGTGGGAGATTCCTCCCTTGTTAGAGTTGTGGATAATGTAGTTTCATGATTTATTGGCTCTGTGCAGAGGAACTTGGGAACTTCCTTCCTCCTAGGATTATAGGTAATGTAGTCCAAATTTCCTGCCCACTGCTGGGTATTCTGGGAGCCTCCTCCCTGAGGATTTTGGGTAATGTAGTCCTATGATTTGCCCTCTCCATGTAAAGAATTCTGGGAACTTCCTGTGCCATAGAATTGTGGGTCATGTAGTTCCACATATTACACAGTGGGGGAATTGTGGAAGCTTCCTTTCCTGTGGAATTGTGGGTATTGTACTCCCATGAATTAGCCTCTCTGAGCAAAGAATTCTGGGAACTTCCCCTCCTTAGAATCATGAATAACATAGTCTCAACATTTGTTATTCACCACTGGGTATTTTGTGAGCCTTTTCTCATAAGGACAGTGGTTGAAGTAGTAAAAAGCATACCACTCAATTTGGGCAGCCCTGGGAATTCCACCCAATAGAATTGTGAGTAATGTAGCCCTATGATTTGTCCTCTTTGTGCAAAGGATCCTGGGAACTTCCTCCCCTTTAGTATTATGGGTAATATAGTCCCAGTACTTCTCCACTGACCACTTGGTATTTTGGGTGCCTGTTTCCCTGAAGATGGTGGGTGAAGTAGTAAGCATACCACTCACTTTGGGGAATTCTGGGAACTTCCTCCCCTCAGAATTGTGGGTAATATAGTCACACAATTTACAATATCTGTGGGGAATTGTGGGCGCTTTCTCCCTGTTTGAATTGTGGGTAATGTAGTCTCAATTTGTCTTCTTCATGCAGAAATCCTGGGAACTTCCTCTGCTAAGGATTATGGGTAAGGTAGTCACAACATTTGCGAGCTCAATGCTGGGTATTCTGGGAGCCCTTAGTTTTGTGGGATATGTAATCCCAAGTGTTGCCTGCTCATTGCAAGAGATCCTGGGAAATGCGTCTTCATAGAATTCTGGGAATTAAAGTTTCATTATTTGCTTGCTCACTGATGGCTGTCCTGGGAGACTCTTCCCCTAAGAATTATTGGTAATGTGATTTCAGATTTACTACTCACTTTGGGGAATCCTGGGTGCTTTGAGCCCATATAATTGTGGGTATTATTGTTCTAGACATAACCACTTCAGAGGGGAAGGGGGATACCATTACCAATAATCCTAAAATGGAGGAAGTTCCCAGTATCCCACTTCCTCCATTTTAGTATTATCGGTAATATCCCTGGTTTTTCCCTGATAGCATCAGGGTCTCAAGAGAGGATTATGGGTAATGTAGTCCAAATTGCCTGGCCACTACTGAGTATTCTGGGAGCCTCCTCCCTGAGAATTTTGGGTAATGTAGTCCCATGATTTGGTCTCTCCATGCAAAGAATTCTGGGAACTTCCTGTGTCATAGAATGTGAGTCATGTAGTCTCACATATTACACAGCCAGGGACTTGTGGAAGCTTCCTTTTCTGTGGACTTGTTACTCTCCTCAGTGAGGGTTGTGGGTAATGCAGTCTTGGATTTATCACTCACTGGGGGATTCTGGGAGATTCCTCCCACATAAAGATTTTAAAAGTACAGTGTCAGGTTTACCACAGGCCCAGGGGTTCCTGGAACATCTTTGCCTTAGGTAACACAGTTCCAAGATTTATGAATAACATGCCCCCATTATTCCTTGATAACCATTGGCAATGCTGGGAGCTTCCCCTTTTTCTTGGGATTGTGGGTAGTGTAGTCCCTATTTTAGCCAGCTCACAGTAGGAAATTAGGAGTTCCTAAACCTTAGTCTGTATGCGATACATTCCTGAGTTTACCACTCATGACAGAGGATCTTGGAAACTTCCTCCCATTAGGATTGTAGACAATGTATTCCCACATTTTTTTTTTTTTTGCTTGGTACTGGGTACCCTGGGATATTGTTCCCTTTAGGATTGTAGATAATGTAGTCCCAAGTTTTACCTGATCACTTAGGGAATCTTGGGAATTTCTGCCCATATTAGGATTGTGGGTAAAGTGGTCTCACAATGAGGAATTTGGGGCTCTTTCTTTTTAGAAAATTATAGATAACCATGGATAATTGAATTATGGTTAATTTAGTCCTGGGTTTAATCACTCAATGTGGGGGATTCTGGGACCTTCCTACCTCTTTAGAATTGGAGGTAATACTTTTCCAAAATCTATTTGCTTGCTTCAGAGATTCCTGGGAAACTTGTTAAAAATTATTGTGGGCACTGTAGTCCTATTTGACTGCCCATTGGATAATCTTGGTGCTTACTACCCCTTGGGATTGTGGAGAATGTAGTCCTTGGGATGCCCCTCACTGTTGAGGATCCTGGGAACTTTCCAAGGTTGTGGATAATGTAGTCCCAAGTTTTGACTGCAAACTGCAGTGATTCCTGAAAAACTTATTCACAAAAGATCGTGGGCACTGTAATTCAATTTGAGTGCTCACTGGTGGGGAACCATGGTGGTTTCTGCCCCTTACAATTGTTCGCATGTTAGTCATTGGAATTTCTCTCTTGCTGTAGAGGATTCTGGAAACTTCCTAAGAACTGTGGGTAATATAATCCCAAAATTTGCCTGCTTACTGCAGAATATTCTGGGAAATTTGTCCATATAGGATTGTGGGTAATGAATATTTGTAATTTATCACATAGCAGAAAATTTGGGAGCATACAGTGTCATAGCATTGTGGGTTTTGTAGTCCTTGGATTGCCTTCTTACTTTGGAGGATCCTGGGAACTACCTCACTAAGTATTGTGGTGAATGTTGTCTTGTAATTTGCCAGATGACTGTATGGATTACTAGGAAACTTGTGCATTAAAAAAGTGGCCATCAGTGAGCAGTCAAAATCGTCCAATTTGACTGCTCACTGATGGACACTTGAAGGATCTTAACTGTTACAATTGTGGGCAATGTATTCCTTGGATTTACCTTCTCAATGTAGAGGATCTGGGGAAATTCCTACTTAAAGATTATGGATAAGGTAGTCTCACACTTTTTTGAACACTGAAGAGATTCTGGGAAACATGTCCATGTGGTATGGTGGGTAATGTAGTCTAGAAATTTCACCACTCATTTTAGGAACACCTGAAACCTTCAAGGACTGTGGACAATGCAATATTCAAAACTGCCACCTAGCTGCAGAGAATCCAAAGTACTACTTCCCTAAGGCTTATAGGTTATGAAACTCAACGATTTTAATGTTAACTGCAGGGTTAGGTTTAAGGTAAGATTGTTAGGGTTATGGTTAGGGTTAGGGTTTGGGGTTAGGGTTAGGATCAGTGGTTAGGATTAGAGTTAGAGTCAGTGAGCTGATTTCTATGATATCAACTCACAACAGTACTGTACTCTACATGGTACCCTGGGGAATTAAGGCTCTATTGATGGTACCACTCCCAGAGTTACTGGCTATATGTGCATAACCACAGAATAGGGTTTCTATTATAGGCAGTTTCATTGGCTCCTGAACTCTGTGAAGAACCATATAACTCATCTTATATGATGGTAGGATACACAAGCCTGCTGAGCACAATGTAGAACATAGTTAACTGTTTTCTATTATGTTAGAATTCCCAGAACTGTCAAGATCTACCTATGGTTCTTGGGATTTATGATGAAAAACTTACCATATCATCTTGTGTCTATGGGTGCCATATAACTGGCTTTCCATTATGGCAGGATTCATAGATCTGCTGACCTCTATGTGTAGAAAAAGGAACCAGTTTCTATGATGGGAGGAAAGCAAAACTGTTGGTATCTACAAAGAGAGTTAGAAAAGTGGTGTTGTATTTTCTAAGGATCTTCAGGTCTTCTGCACTTTACTTGGAGATCCAGATAAGTAGTGTCTTATGATAGCAGTTATAAAAGGTATGCTGGTCTCCATGTGAAAAGCAAATGTGCCGCAGTCTGGCTGGGCACAAAATCATGAGCCACTCACAGCCTTGTAGATTCAAACAGCAATTCTTTATTCCTGAACTCACACTGGCACTCTGCAAACACGTTCTGGGCAAAATCCACACCTCCACTGGGCTCTGTATCCCAAAATACTCTCTGAATCTTGCAAGAACTCAACCGGAACTCAAGGAGCAGGTGCGCCTGAGGCAGCAGGATACGCCCTATTCCCAGCAGGGTACACCTTAAACCTGGATCCGCCCTGGTCCTTGAGCAAGGTCACCTTTCATGCAAAGTCACTGCAAATGACCTGGGTCCACCATGGAGAGTCCTTCCTCTAAGCAACATGGGGTAGGCTGATAAAGAAATTGCCATGCGTCATTCCTACTTGGCAATGGCTCTCAGCACAAATGAAATAGGGTTTAATTTGGTAGAAGTCAAATGAATGATTTACTGTGTGTCCAAAGCTAGGGAACTGGGTTTCTCTCATTTCATAACACACAGAGGTGCTCAGCTGTCTGTGCAGACAGAAAAATGGGTTTCTGTGATGGCAGGTACCCCTGGGCTTCTAAACTCTGTAGTGGCCAGCCAGGGATCTGAGTTTCTTTTGTTGGCAATGTGATTATTGTTGCTGGGTCTACATATAGAGACAGGTAACTGGCATTATAGGATGGCAAGACATGCAAGACTGCCAGATTCTACTTTGAGAGTCAGGGAAATAGGGTTTATGATGATAGGTGTTTGAAGGCTGCTGGACTTTATTTTGAAATCCAGGCAACAGGGTTTAAATTAAGGCTGACTCCAAGGACTGCATGGCTCTCCATGGAGGCCTGGTCAATTGAAATCTATGATTTCCTAATACCCAAAGCTGCCTCAAAAATGTGGAGTCATAGAACTGGGTTTCTTTGATGACAGGACACCCAAAGCTACTTGAATCTCTGTGGAGAGTAAAAAATGACAAATTCTATAATGACAAAACTTATAGAAATGTTAGGTTTTTCATGGTTAGCCAGAGAACAGGAGGAATAAAATAGCAGGGATTCCAAGTCTTCATGATCATATTTGGAGAATCAAGGAACTGGAGTACTGATGACAGGAATCTCCATGCTGCAGGACTCTTTGTGGAGTGTCAGGGATTTGAGGTTCTATTATGACATAACTTGAGATTTGACACTATAATGGTGAAACTCACAATGTTGTTGAGATTTATGTATCCTAGGTAAATGGAGTTATATTATGACAGGAGTCACATTTTTTTTTTTTTTTTGTCCTCTTGGTGAAAATTGAGAGATCTTGATTTTATGTTGACAGTACTCAAAGTGCTACTGTGGTCCATGCAGAGAACAAAGGGATGAAATTAAATTGATGGTAGAATTCCCATCCTGTCTGAGCTGTACATGAAAAAACAAAACAACAACAAAACAGGTTTTCTGTTTATGGCACGATGCACAGGGCTCCTGGACTCTACAATGAGAGATGCAAAACTGGTGTTCTATGACAGCAGGACAACTGATCTTTATGCAGAGAAAAGAAACTGTTTTCTTTAATAGCATAAACACCAGAGCTGCTATGAGATATGTGGAAAGCCAGGGAACACAGGTTTGATAAATTGACCTCCCATGTTTTCTTGGCTTTACTTGGAGATGGAGAAATGGGTTCTATCATGTCAGAACTCACAGTTCTGCAGGTCTGTATATGGAGAACAAGGGAACTTGGTTTCTATGATGGCATGACTCTCAGGACTGCTGTTCTCCATGGATATAGCAAGTGAACTATTTTTTTTAATGTTTCCAGGAAATTCTAGTCTGGTGGAATTTACATGGAAATCACAAGAAACTGCGGTTATATGATGACAGGACTCTCAGTACTTTTGACTATCATATTAGTATTAAAGTTCATAGGGGAGTCATTGTATTAGTTTATACATATGTATACATACTAAAGATATTTAAAATACAAAAAAAGGGCTGGGGATGTGGCTCAGTGGTTGAGTGCCCCTGAGTTCAACCCACATCACCAAAACAACAACAGCAACAACAAAAAACCCACAGGGGACTGCAATTCTAGGATGGTTGGACTATCTGTCCTGCTAATATTTATGTGAAAATCATTGAAGCTGAGGTTCTATTTATGGAAGAATTTCTGGTCTCCTG